GATTGACGGGCCAAGAGGCCCGTGGCAGCCGCCCCTCTGGCAGGTGAAAGCCAATGGGAGAGAGGAAAGAGAGGAGGCTCGTGGTCCTCCCCACCAAGGAGCGACACACGGTGGAGTGGGCTCTAGGAGAGACTGGGATAAAGAGAAACTTTCTCTTGGCGCTTCAGTCCGAAGAAGCCTACGAGAGCTCCAGCCGCCTAAATATACCAGAATGCCCACCCGGCTAATGGTAACACCTTAAGCGCTTACAGTTTTCAGCACGAGTACACGAGTTGTCACAGCGGCCGGGTGAAATTGGCAGAGAAAACACTCCTAGCCCGTTTCTTTCAGATGAGGGTAATAGGACGCGGAGGGGCTGAGAAATCTGCTTCCTCGCTGCATTAACACCAAGGACAACTGGAAAATCGCCAGATCTCCCGCACAGAGCGGGCTGTGATTCGCGTTGGGAGTTGGGAGCGAGTGCATTCGCTACTTGCAAACAAGTTTCCAGCGGGTGGCATACCAAGTCCTACAGCGGCTGCCCCGGGAGCAGAGTCGAGGAGAAAGGGGAAGCATTTGCTGGTTATCTGCTTGCCAGGGGCGGCCCCTGTGGGTATGGAATGATGCTGACCCGTGGCTCCGTTGTGGATCTGGGATTGGAACCCAGGCGTCCTGGCGCCTGGCCTCAAACACGAAGGCCAACAGGTAGTCTCTCTGTGGCCTAGGAGCCCTAGGAGGAAAGGTCAGAGGAGACCTGGTCTCCCGGTGCGACGAGAAGGAAGAAAAAGCGTTGATGAGAGGGGTAGTCTGTGGGTGCAAAGACCACAGAGATGGGTTGGAGGAGGGAGGGAGACCTCTCCTGGGTGACCAACCCACTTGGGAACCACAGCCTACCAAAGTGTCCAGCAGGATGTTGGAAGGCTCTATGCAGGGTCATCCCCAGGGGGCCATCTTGGAAATGGTCACAGACACATCACATCAACTCCTCAGTGGAGGGAGAAAGTCCACTGCAGTCAACCCAAGAAAATTGTGGTTTATCTTCAACCCTTAGGGTTTATTTTCATTGGTATGGATCATTCACTTCAAGGGGAGGAATAATTTTCTCCAACCAAGCTGCAAGCAGTGCCAGGGCTTAACTCCTCCTTCCTGTGGGCCTGAGAGGTCCTGACAAAGGTTAACTCTGCTCCCCTGCAGCTTCTCTCCTGGGTTGTATAAACAAGCTTCTGACCTAACTCCTGCATTCAGTTTTGCCCACTCCCCTTGCCCACCACTCAGCCTCCACCCAGCTGCCAGTCATCCTTCTAAAGAGCAAACCTGAATCACTACTCTCTGCCTAAAAAGCTTAAACTCTCCCCAGCGCCCTCAGATCAAAAAAGCCCAGACTGGATGATGGAACAGTAACAAAGTACTGGTGGTTCTCCAAAAAAAAAAAAAAGAAGAAGAAGAGCTGCTCTAAGAGAATTGCCTGTCTTCCTCTGCTGGAGCTAGTCAGGATGGGTTCAAATCCAGGGTCTGCCACCTAGTGGTATAACTTTGCAAGAGTCACCTTACTTATCTAGGGTCAAGTTTTCCCCTCTGTAAAATGGGGATAAAAAAATAGTATCCACTTCATGGGTTGTTGGCAGGATTGAAGGAGATGGAGTATATAAAGCCCTTAGAATGGGTAAGTTATAAATATCACCATCTGGCATTCGAAGAGGGTGGGACAAATGCCTCATCTCATTTTAGCCTCAGTATGATCCTGTGAAGTTAGAGAAATCCAACTTTACAGGTAAGTAAATGGATACTCCACGGGATTGAGACTTGCCTGGCCTCATTTGGCTGGTAAGTGACAGCAGAGATTCAAGATCAGGTTTTCAGAGTCTAATTCTGCCTCTGTCACCTGATAACTGCAATGTCCAATTGCAAATGCCATAGAGTTCCAAGGTTCCTGTGTGCTCATTGGGGATTTTTTTTTTCAGTGGCCTGCAAAGGAGCTGAGACTCTGAGATTCACTGAGCTTCAGGGAAGGGCATGGAAACAGCAAGGGTCAGCCCTTCCTGGAAACAGCCCTTGTGATCTGGCAACCTGGGAATTTGCCCAGCTGGACTTGTGACACTTACCCAGTACCCCCATGCCCCAGCACTGAAGCACTGACATCAGTTTCCCTGTGCCTGCCTAGGTGCTCCCCCATGAGGGGCTGGGTAGGATGAAAATGTTAGCACTGGGCTCAGCAGGCTGACAAGTTCGTGCTGACTCTACCACCTGGCCACATGCACCGCGTCAAGCTGGTTAACTTCCTTCTGTAGCTGGAATTATTGAGAAATCTATTGGAGTGAGTAAATATCCTTGAAATGGCCCCCCAGTATCTGGCAGCACAAAGCGCCCAGGGAACAGACATTGCAATAGTCCTTTCCATCCATAACACCCTGGGCTGCTCTCCAGCCAGAAAGCTTATTTCCAAGTGGTCGCTGGTCCAAAAATCTACATTATTCTGGATTTCAACCATGTAGCTTAGTTTAAAATATGAGCAACTGCCTTCCAGTTACTTTGCTTAGCAAGTATTTTCTTTCCTTCTGGTTGGCATGCAAGGGCTGTCGTAACCATGGCCATCATTCAAGTGATGCATTTTCTTCTCCTGACTCCTCCCAGAGAAGCCCAGAGAAGGTTAGAAATTCCAGAGAACTGCTAGTCCCAAACAGCGTCTCTCTGCCAGGCTCAATCGTCTGATCCAAGTAAAAAAGTGAAATTGACAAGTTCCTTCTTTCCCTGGGGGCCAAGCTTATGGTTCAAAAATAAATCTAGCTCTCCTGGCACCTGGTCCGTCTGGTTTTCAGCCATGCTCCTTGTCCTGTGGGACTTCTGTTTGCGAGGGGATATTTCAGTGAAGAAAAATAATACTTTATATCCCATATTGAGGGCTGAGGGCCTTGAATATTTAGGAGTAGCTAGGAACACCCATTTCAAATATATCTGTTTCTGTATAGCCTAGAGGAGTCTTGTCTCAAATTCAGAATAGAACCTTTCTATTCATTTTAATAAGCATTTGGATGCATCTCCCTCTGTGCCCAGCACAATGCTCATTATTATAAGGGATCTTTGGATGCACTCACAGCCCTCTGAGAGATTATAATCTAATTTAAGACATGGAGCAGACACATACCTGGAGACCATATTTAAGGGCAAAGCCTGCAATGTGTCTTGTGAACTCAAAGAGCAGGGACCTACTATAAACCTAATGGGCAGGGAAGGTCTTGGAAGGTAGGTCTTGAATCAAGCTTTAGAGAAAAGTGCTTCTATAATATAAATATACCTTAATTTATGTTTGCTTCACCTGTGACACCAATACCAACAGAGGAAGGTGAGTGGTGTCTAATCAGAACTCCTTTCAAATATACTACTGAGCTCAGGAGCCTGGGACACTAAGAATCCTGGGTTCTGCTTCTGGATTTATGATAAACTTGCTGTAACATTTAGCACTGGGCTGAGGTAGGTATTATTTGTCCCATTATGCAGATGAGATTGACCCATAGAAGTTAATCGTACCAAGGTCAGTTCTTACACTTTAAATATACAAGGCAACTCACATGCACACGAGAAAGAGTAAATATGTGAGGTAGGTAATGGATGTTTAATTAACTCAATGGGGGAAATCCTTTCATAATGGATACATATATCAAATCATCATGTTGGACACTTTAAATCTCTTGTAATTTAATTATACCTCAGCCAGGGTTACGGTCATCTAGGGCTGAAAAACCCACTTCCAAGTTCACATGCATGGTTGTTAGGAGGCTTCAGTCCTTCACTGGCTATTGGCTGGATACCTCCATTTTCCTCCACCTGAGTCATCACAAGATAGCTGGCTTCTCCCCAGAGCAAGTGATCAGCAAGAGAGCCCACGATGGAAACCACAGTCTCTGATAACCTAATCTCAGCAGTGATAGACCATCACTTCTGCCATATTCGATTGGTCACACAGACCAACCTGGTACCAGAAGGCGGGGATCAGTGGGCGCCATCTTGGAGATTGACAACCACAGGCAGTGAAAAACAACTTTGTTAGAACTGTTAATAAGAATTTAAATATAATAAACCCAAAATTTTATTCTACATTTTCCTAGTTTTGAAGGTAACATACCTGAAATAGACAACAAACTTTGACTGAAACCATTCACTCATCAAATATCATGAACCTGGAACATACTCACCTTGTAAATATGGATTTCAGATTTCAAATGTATCTCTAATTGGTCTAGCTTATCATTCCTTATGGTTCTCCAGTTTGTATTTGCATCATCAAAACAGTACTTTTGAAAGCTTTAGCGGCTCATAATTCTGTTGAAGAGAAGATGGCCACCTCCTTTGCTCTGTAATTGCAAACATTTTCATTTTTCAGATTTAAAAACATAATTTAAAATCTTCAGCCCAACAAATATTTTCATTTCTACATCATCTGTTTCCTCTTTGCATACACACCTGCCTTCAACATTTGCTCATTTACAAACCACTTCAAGCAAATTTTGTTGCACAAAAGTATGAAAGATTAATGAATATTTTTATGTCTCTTTTGCAAAATAAAAATGTTCAGGCTCTTGTCACAAAATGTTGTGTAATTAAGTCCATCTTGTTAAGTGAATAACTAGATAAAAAAACCATATATCCTTTTTGTCCTTAAAACTATATTCTTAATTCATTGATAATTGAATTAGAGAAAAAATCATCTAGGATATCATCATCTAAAGATTCACAGGCTAAGATTTCTCTTAATTAATTTCACTATCGTCATTTGATTATATTCTAGAACACTGCTGCCTCTTTGCATTCATCTTCTGATTTAGGTAATAATTGTGAAATCTCTTCCTCTATCAATTTTTTTCTCATTGCCTTTACAAGCACAAAATGAAAATTTCAGAATTTTCAGTTCTATCAAATGAAAGCTAAAAGCAGACCACAAAGATGGTGTCTCCAGTCTTCTTTTATACCTTCTTGGAAAATGATATAGTATTTTAGGCAGTGAATTCAGAAATCTGAAGGATGATAAAATGATGATTTGTGACACTGTTGCACCATCCTTCCAGGTAATTCCATCATTCTTCAGTTTTCTTATTATGTTAGTCTTTTTCAGCATAGTTGGGAATAACTGATGAGTAATGGTAAAATAACTCCTAGGATGACAAAACAACAAAGTGTTTCAAGACATAAGAAAAAAATCAGATCACTAAGAACTCATAATGTAGCTTACATTTATGAAAGGGTTCCCATGCACCTATAACATAATGGCAAGATAGAATGAATTTTAGTCTATCTTTAAAAAATTAGTTAATTTTATCTTTGTGCTTTGAAAGATATCTTAAAAAGACTAAATGTCAAGAAAGATCTTTGCAAGAAAAGATATTTACAAGAAATGCTTTATAAAAGATACAGTGCATTAAAAAAAGATCAACCAAAATTGAGTCCAGTGGAACCCGGATGGTATTAACATACCTGATGCAGTAGATTTGGGAGAAGTGACACCACTGACAGGACTTAAAGCAGACACCATTCATGCCGCACCCACATCCCCTCAGCACACAAATTCCCCAGCATCTTCCTAACGTCACAGTGCCTCTTTTTTCTGCCCCAGGGCGTCCTCTGCCTACAGGTGCCAGCTCATCTTTTGCAGACGGTGAGCTGGAGGGGTCTGGAAGGCAATACCCTCCAGGTGCAACCAATGCGGAACCAGAATTAGTGGGTAAATCCCAACTTCCTCACCCCCCAGCAAGACAATTCTGAGGTGTGTTCCACAGTCTCTCAGTGGGTCCCCAACAGGATTAAGCCCCAGTTGCCCGCAGCAGTAGCCCTCTCATTAATGAACCATTAGTTGGCATTTTCCCCTTCCTTGTTGTACTTCCCCACTCCCTCACTGTGCTTCCTTGGATCACCTCCAAGTAAACTACTTGCACTGAAATTCGTCTTAGAATCTGCCATTGAAGGGGAAAAAAAAGAATATGCCATTGAGAGAATCTAAACTAAGACACAAGGTGAAACCACATCATGATAAAGCAACTGCAGCTCTAAAAATCAATCATAGGGCTCTTCTTGCTCTACCTGGAGGCCTCACGCAGGACAGAGCAGACTGGGCTGATGCAAGCAAGCCAAACAGAGAGGAGACTAGTTAATGATGGCAGACTGCAGTTTAGGAGAAAGAATGCTTTTAGAGGTCATTAGAATAAGGAGCTGTCTAAAACCATCAGAAGTGCTTTCTCCATTTAACAAAAAGTTGGAATGGGCTCCCCGGGTGGCAGATGGACCGTCTGATCTCGATTAAGAAACTGCCTGGGGCGGTGGAATAGTCCCGGGCAGGGAGACGGAGGAATTGGATTCCAATCCAGGCCTCTCCGAATTCGACTGCCATCTCTACCAAAGAGGATCATAAAGTCTTCACAGCGTTGCTGGGACTAATAAGTAAAATCATGGGTTGTGGTAGGATGCTCTGTGGTTTCCATCGTCTTTGGCAAGGTAACTTGCCGGCTAGCATGAGGTGCAGGCAGGGGTGGACACACACCTCAAAGCAGATGGCCTGTGTCAGAAGAGTCACTTGAGTCTCCTTTAGTCATGTACGTGGAGGGTCAGCAGGCATCAGTGTCCTGGGAAAAAGAGTATAACAAGCCCTTTTTTTAATTTTATTTTTTTTAATTGAAGTACAGTCAGTTTACAATGTTACGTTAATTTCTGGTGTACAGCATAGTGATTCATTTATATATTCCTTTTTATATTTTTTCCCAAGGTATTGAATACAGTTCCCTGAGCTACACAGTAGGACCCTGCTGTTTATCTATTTTATATGTAATAGTTTGTATCTACAAATCCCGAACTCCCAATTTAAGCTTCCCACCCCCTTTCCCCTCTAGTAACCATAAGTTTGTTTTCTATGTCTGTGAGTCTGTCTCTGTTTTGTAAATAAGTTCATTTGTGTCCTTTTTTTTTTTGATTCCACATGTAAGTGATATCATATGCTATTTTTCCTTCTCTTGCTTGCTTGCTTCACTAAGTACGACAATCTCCAGGTCCATCCATGTTGCTGCAAATGGCATTATTTTATTCTTTTTTATGGCTGAGTAGTAGTAGCCCTTTCTTGTGCTGTAAATAGCTTTGCTCCTTTAGAGAAATCTGGCCAGTGGAGGGGGAGAGGGACCCTGGTTCTGTGTAGGCAGGGGCAGGGCTGAGGTCTTTGTGACTCACACCATCTTGGAGCTTTACACCCCAGGGTGACTGTGTGAGTGAACCAAGACACGTGGAGAGCTGGGCCCCTAGGGCTCAGGTCCAAGATGGGAAGCCCATGGGATTATGCGTGGCTGAGGGTGGGGAGAAGACACCAACCCATCTCAGCACCTGCAACAACAGCAAGATCAGAAGAGAATTCAACCTCTGTCCTCACCTAGACCATATTCTCTCCTCTTCAACACGTCAACTGGCCTCTTCCTCTCACTGAGGTTGACCGTGATGATGTAGCTGAAGTGACAAAACTGTCCAACGAGAAATAAGTATAAACCTAGCAGGTTTTTCCCACAAGCTTTCCGTGTATATACATTTTAATGGCTTCTATTTTTTTGAGCATTTAAATATACCAAACACTTTCCAAACATCTCCTTTCATCCTCATGACAAGCTTACTATCCCTGATACAATCCCCATATTTCAGAGGTAGGAACTGAAACTCAGAGAGGCTAAGACACTTTCCTGTGGTTACAGAGCCTCAGTGGCAGAGTTGTTTTCAAACCTGAACATGTCTGACCCCAAAGCCCGTGTCCTTCACCACTAGCCTGTGTTGGAAGAACTGGACGACCAGATGAACCTTCCCGATGACGCAGTCTAAAGGCCCAGCTGTCACCAGAGGCAGGAGCCCGGCGGTCTCCATGGGACCTACATTCAAAGTTAATGGTGCAATCCGAGGGTGGTGGCCTCTGCACAAAGCGGCATTCAGGAAGGTTCTGGAGCCTGAGAGGCAGGGCAACACCAACCACAGCCTCCTTCTCTAGAATGCACTGCCCGGAGTCACAGCAGGCGTGGCGCCCAGGTAAGGAGGCAGGCTGCTCTCGGCCAGGAACACTCCCTGACTGACACAAGGTCACTGTAGCTGGCCCCAGCCCTTCGAATTTCATCCTTCCAGCAGCCCACTGTCCTGTGGTCCTGTGTCTGTGCCCTGGATAATGCCTCTCAGCTGGTGCCATCTCTCTGTCCAGTGAGACCACAAACATCTTGCGATTAGAGTCCATATCTTCTATTTTCTGGCTTTTTTATCCTCCCCATAAGGTCAAAATCCATGCTCAATCACACTTGTGAGTTAGGCCATTTAAATGGCCAGATGACACTGAGGTAAAGGACTACAGGGCAGCCAAATTGACTAAATTCTTTTAAAATTAACCAGGATGAAATGCAGATTAAGGAGAAATCATTTGCTATTACTGTTTTCCCATATGAGAGGTGTATTTTCAATAAGAACATGTAAAAACTCTTTGGACATATTTCACTCCTACTTGTGTGCCTTTACCAGATGTCTTGCACAATTAGACATCTGTGCAAAGACAGAAAAGTTTGCATTTGGATGCATATATTAGAGGCAAGAAATATAACAGTTAAGGGTCCCAGTTTGGGAGGTGGACAAAACTAGATTCAAATTCCATCTCTGTGACTTGCAGCCTGACCACGGACAAGTCATTCTACCTCTCTGAGCCTCAGTTTCCCTATTTATGAACTTGTAATTAAAAGTGCCTTCCTTGTTCACATTCATTAGGATGACCATTATTTTAGAAAACAAAAAAGAAAAAGTAAAGAAGCATTGGCAAAGATGTAGAGAAATCGGAACCCTGTGCATTGCTGGTGGGCAAGTACAATGATGTAACTGCTGTGGAAAACAGTATGGCGCTTCCTCAAAAAAGTTAAACGTAGTATTACCATATGAATCAGCGATTCCATTTCTGGGTATACATATCCCAAAGAAATGAAAGCAGGGACTCGAATAGATATTTGTACACCTGTGGTCAGGACAGCCTTAGTCACAATAGCCAAAAGGTGTAAGCAACCCAAGGTCCATCAAATGAGTGGATAAACAAAACGTGGCATATGAGTACAATGGAAAATTATTCTACTTTAAAAAGGTAAGAGATTCTGACACATGCTACACCTTGAAGACATTGTGCTAAGTGAAATGAGCTGGACACAAAAGGACAAATATTGGATGATTCCACTTAGATGAGGTACCTAGAGTCATCAAATTCAAAGACACAGAGAACAGAATGGTGGTTTTCCAGGGACTGCTGGGAGGGGGGAATGGGGAATTATTGTTTAATAGGTACAGAGTTTCCATTTAAGGAAATGAAAAAGATTTGGAGATAAGTTACAGTAATGGGTGCACAACAATGTGAATATACTTCATGCCACTGAATTATACCCCTAAAAATGGTTAAAAGTAAATTTTACATACAGTGGAAGATTATTCACCATAAAAAAAGAATGCAATCTTGCTGTCTGGGACAGCATGGGTGGACCTTGAGGGCATTATGCTAAGTGAAATAAGTCAGATAGAAAAAGATAAAGACAAATAAGCGAGATCACACTCATCGTAAGTATGTGGGGACTCTAGAAACAACAACAAAATCAAGCTTCTAGATGCAGAGAACAGATTGGTGGTTGCCAGGGATGGGGAGTTGGAAGTGAGTAAATGCTTAAAGGGAATCAAAAGGTAAAAACTTCAGTAATACAATAAATAAGGCATGAGAATGTAATGCACAGCATGGCCTCTATAGTTAATAACACTGTATTGTATATTTGAGAGTTGCTATGAGAGTAGACCTTAGAGTTTCTCACCACAAGACAAAAAGATTCTGCAGCTCTCTGTGTATGATGATGGACATTAACTAGACTTGCTGTGATGATCATTTTGCAATATAAACAAATATCAAATCACTGTGCTACCCACCTGAAATTAATATAATGTTGGATGTATGTCAATCACACCACAATTTTTTAAAGGGAAATTTTCTGTTATATATATGTTTTGCCACACACACAAAAAATCTTCCTTGTAGTTTCACAGTGAGGGCTAAATAAATTAACACTGGTAAAACAGTTGACAGTGCTTGGCGCAGAGTAGTGGTCGCTAAATTGTAGATAGCACCATTGTTGGCTTTAGTCCAACCAGTGGTGGGACAACAGGGGCCTGGAGAGTCCTAAGCCCCAGAATAACCACAGGATGAAAAGAGAAGGCCCTGGAAGAGACTAGGAGAGGAAAAGATCTGCAGGCCTCTTGTGAAAACACGGCCAGAGCAGGATTGCCAGAAAAACACAGGCTGCCTTGTTAAATGTGAACATCAGATAAACAACAATTTTTTCTTGTAATCAGTATGTCCCCAATACTACATAACTCTGTTTTATTGCAAGGGACAGACTAATATTAAAAATGTATTCATTGTTTATCTGACATTCAAATTCAACTGGGCATCCTGTATTTTTATTGGCTAAATCTAGCAACCTTAGGCCTGAGGCACGACTCATCCTTCAGTCCTTGACACTGAGTCAGTCTATGATGATGACAGATCCTAGAATAACCTGGTATCTAAAACTCTGGACAGGGCATCGTTTGGAGGAGGGGCGGGCAGAGAACAGAATAAGATTCTTTGCTTTATAAATGTATTCTTTCACAGCTGAGGTCCCATAAATAGCAAGCTCTCCCCACAGTCTCAAAATAGAAATTCATTTTTAAAACTTACATTTACAGCCCCACTTTTGAAGGAGCCCACCTGTCCAAGTTTGAGGCGGTACCAGCCATCGTCCCCAAAGCTGTGGTTCTCCTGGCTTCTGAGATCAGGGATGGGGGTAACACCTACCAGGGTTCACTGCAGACAGAGGGGTCCGGTTGATAAAGGCCAAATCACCACCCTGGGCCCCAGGCTCTGGCCTCCTCCCGGCAGGGTCGACTTGGACCGGCCCCAGCACCTCCTACCCAGGCTGCTGTGGCTGGCTATTCGCACACAGAAAGGGCGGTCGAAGAGTCCTCTGAAATGTCAGCAGAGACCTAAAAAGGGCTTTGTCTATGTAAAACCAAACACAATTCCCCCGGCCTCGGCCCTAAACTGATTAAAAGCTGGAGTCATTCGTTTTGTTTTGAGAAGTGCCAGGGTTTTCTGCCCGCGGTCCCCCCTTCCCTCCTCACTAGTTCCAGCTGCAGAGGCACATCAGTGTGAAGGACCACACACCAGCAGGCCCAGCGGTGCGGAGGCCTGGCGGAGATTAAACCCCCAGGCGGCGGGGAGGGCGCCCCACCCCCACGCAGAAGGGGCGCGGAGCCTGGAGCGGGGAGTTCAAGGAGAGAGCCCTCCCGGCGGACCCGGATCGCGTTCACCCCGGCCGCGCCCCTGCTCCATCCCACCGTCAGACCCGGGAGGGCGCAGAGGAAAGTCCGCGGGGAAGATCTGCCCACCGCACAGAACGTGGCCAGACGTGACTTCCCTCTCGACTTAAAAAAAAAAATAACCAAATTTCTTTATCACACAACAAACATAATTTGGGAGGAAATCCGAGGGACCGAAAGGAGGCAGAGTCTGGGTTTTCGTCTGGGTTCCACCAGCTCACGAGGCGACCTAGGACCATTTGCCCCAGCTAGGCCATCTGTCTGCCTCGCTCTCCAGCCAGGGGGGCTGCGAACCAAGACTGAAAACCAGTAAGACGTGTGATTGGGTTATTTCCTTTGTCCCACGCAGGCCAAACAGGACTCGGTCTGCTCACTTGTTTATTGTCTGTCTCACCCAGCAAGATGCCCCGAGCTCAGCGCTGGAGACCCACCGGGCAGCCAGCACGGTGCCAAGCATCAAGGCTGGTCCCTACGTGGTTTCCGTCGCCTGAGTAAAGGATGGAAGCCGCGCTGATGCGGCAAAGGAGAGCTGCCCTTCCCGCCTGAGCCAACCTTTTCTCTTCCCTGTGGTGTTCCCCCGAGGATCAGAAGGGGACTTTTTTGAGTGCTTGGGGTTCCTGAGCTATTTTTCTCACACCAAGTTCGGAAGCTGATGGAGGTTCACTGTATGGTATCCGGCACTGGTATCGTCCTCCTTTCTTCTTTGCCTTTGGTACCCAGTGTCCTCATCAGCAACGCCCATACCCCACCTGCCAAGCGCCCTGCCAACAGAATGCCGGGGTCAGAGGTTAAAGGAAATTAAAATAGGACAGAAGGTGCTTGAGGGAGGAGGCCAGAGTTTCTGGTGGGCCTCAGAATAGAAACAGGCGTAGGCTCAGTGTCACACAGACATGTGTGTCCTGGAGAGGACCAGGAGGACACCCACCCCCACAGGACGATTTCTGGTGCTTCCCCTCCCCCACTCCATGACATAATGAAAAATCCATGTTAAAATCTTCACATGTGATCTGATTTTTCAACACTTTAATTGGATTAATAGAAGCCGGGAATATAGTGAGCCCACGGCCCTTCCTCCCCAGGGTCCCCCCTCCCCCCCACCCCTTCCCTCTCAGTCTCCAGTCCTCTCTGCACCCCTCTCCCTACTCCTTCTCCTCGCTTGCCTCTCTATTCCTAGACTGACTCATCTTTATCCCTCAAGGCTCTGCTTCCATCCACACCTCCCTCTCTTACCTCCCTTCCAGCTCACTCCCAGCAGCCTCTTCCTCTCTGGGGGCAGGGGGGCACTTTTTTTTGGTGGGGGGGTGGCTCCAGTAAAATTTGCTCTTTCTTCCCTAACTGAAGGAAAAGCAGTCCCATCACTCAAAACCCTGGTGAATGGAATATCTCCAAACACCTGGGGAATGGAATGTGTCTAAAGAAATGCCATTTTATTGCGTTCTAGAATATACACTACCTACTGAGAGTTACAGGAACAGCACTCAAAATCTTTAACAGATATGAGTTAAATATAACTAGTATATTGGTTATTAGCATGCAAGTGTTACTGTTAAAGGCCCTTGTTCTTTTTTTTTTTTTAGATTTTTAGTTTTTTATTTATTTTTCAGGGGGACGGGTAATAGGTTTATTTACTTATTTATCTACTATTATTTTTTTTTAATGGAGGTACTGGACATTGAATCCAGGACCTCATGCATGCTAGGTGTGCACTCTACCACTGAGCTATAACCTCCCCCTAAAGGCCCTTATTCTTGAGGTGACTCTTCCAGACATAATCTGGGCAATGGCACTGCCACCTCATTTTATAATAAATATGGTTAAACTACAGAGAGGAAAAAAAACACCCTACGCTGTTTCCACGATTGTGTAGTGAATGGCTGTGGGGCGCTATATCCTTAGCAACAATGAAATCCTGTGCAGCTAAAAAGCTCTGGACAGGCACTCCCCTGGGTCCCAGTGCCTGTGTGGTGCCCAAGACAAGCTCACAGTGAGACTCTGAACACGCGGCTTGATTTCTCTGCCCTCAATTACTTCGTCTCTACAACCAGAAGGGCAGTTGGGATGAGTGGATTCCAGACTGTTTTGTAATGTATGCCTCTATCAGTAAAAACTTTTTGAGCATTCATCTCCACTCTACGTATTTCTGGTTATACTACGCTATTTGTACTGATATATTATGTATACACCATACAGAAAAATTTAATGGATAAAAGAAACATGAAAAAATGGTATTTTTATGTTTTATTAACCATGATGCCTTCAATTTATCACTCACTAATATTTCAAGGCAAAATATTTACTGAGGGCAAGACTTTGCTGAGTGTTGTTTTAAATTCATTTTTCAAGTAGACTTCAAAATAATTTCCATTTGTTTTTGTCACTGATTTCTTGCCAGATGCCTGTTTTTAACCTCACAATGTGGCTAAAAGGGGGAATTTATAAGAAAACTAGAGAAGTCCCAGCTCAGCTGTTGTTGTTTCTTTCTGCTTGCAAAACAATATTAAATTATTAATACTATCTTTAAAACAGTTTTTTTTTTTTGGCAGGAATCTTTTTAGGCTGCCTGACTACTTGGTGAGGAGAGGTATTTGTTAAAGCTAAACAATATACTTTATAAATTATTCTTAATAGGCACAAGTAAACTATAATACATCACAGCACACTGGAAGCACGGAAAAGGATGAGGGCTCCCGGTCCTGGTGCAGGGCTTCCACTCATACACCCCACATGGCGCACAGCATCTGATCTACAGACAGATGGACGGAGTAAGAGCCACTCCGTGATTCTCCATAATGTTCTCTGACTGTTGAACATGTCCACAGATGGAATCTTTCTCACTCTTCATTCCACCTGCTGCTGATCAGCACTCCTTGCTTGAGAGGTGAGCCAAGATGCTGTCTGGCACTGAGGTCTGCACCCTGTGAAGGCTCGTGCTATCTGGGGTGAGCAGCATTTAGTGCCGGTGGACAGAGCTGGGCCCCGGACCTCAGTTTCATAAGGTGGGCTGGAGTGTGTGGGGACCTTACTCTGGGGTGTGATTCTCCACTGCTCTCTCACCCGCACCCCCACTCTCCACACCTCATAGGTTCCTCCCTTCTCCAAAGTATGTGTCCTCTTCCCCTCGTCTCTTTCCCTACCCGGGAACCCAGTTTTTTGCTTAACCAACCCCACCTTTCTGCTGGAAGAAATCAAGACAGCTCCTTTTGAGGTATGAAGTGTTCACACAGGTGGAACTACATTGGACTTCCTATCGAGGGCCTTTTTCACCAGTTCTGCTGCTAGGGAGAGTCAGCGACTTGATCTGGGTCACAAAGCTACTAGGTGGCAAAACTGGAATTTGAAGTTGGGTCTAGATAATTCCAAAACCCACACTGTGTCCAGCTCTCCAAAAGCAGGGAACGACTAGGGTTTGTAGGTATGTTGTGTTTCCATATGTACACATAACATACATACCCTTATGGTCATATGCTACAACTGAATACAGGTGAATGGGTAGGTGAGGAGCCACACTGGGGAAAGGCTGACATGTCCCAGGAAAGCCATGGGTCCAAACATGGACTGACAGGCTGAGAGCCCCTGAAGCAGGCCTGCCATCTCCTCAGCCCACACCCAAGACCAGCTCTTGGTGGCTGGGAAGGAATGAGGGTGTGCCCACGCATAACCTCCTCGGACACTGAAAAAGAACCTAGATTTGTCTGCTTCTGACTCATCTGTTTGGCCTTGCTGAAGGGATGGCATTTACTCTGGCCTCGGACAGAAACCTGTTCTGGTTTGAAGAGGAATCAGAATTCTTGTTAAGGTGATAATGACCCAAATACCAGTCGCTACCTTCTGCTGTCCAAGCTTGAGGGAACAAACTCAGTGAGGAATTTGTGGTCCTTCTGCATCTACGTGACTGGCAACCAAGTGCAAGTTTTATAAATAAGATAGCAGAGGCTTGCAAGCCACCAAACAGGGAGTGGCTCACCCCTCCTGAAGTAGGATTAGTCCGGGGGAGAGTATTTGAAATAGAAGTCTACCCTCCCTTTTGTCACTTCCCCCATGGAATTGCCAGGCCTTAGATCAGCCCCACTCTAACCAGTTATGAAGGGTCTTAGCATCAAGGTAATGAAGATGACCATGATCATGATGCCAACCATACAGCATTTGTTGTGCACATACTTTGTGCCAAGAATTGTCACAAACATTTTTCAAACACGATCTCAATTCACCCCTAGATTATTATTAATGATTATCTTCAGAGAAGGAAAGTGAAGCTTAGTGGTGCTGGGTGATTATCCCAAGTTCACATTACTATTGAGGGGTGGAGCCAAGATTTTAATCCAGATCTATCTGGCTCCAAAGGCTGTGGTCTTAACCACTGCTCCCGGAACCCCAGATTGGACACCAAAGAAAGAAGCACCATGTTCTTACAATGCATTTCTCCTGAAATAACTTGACCCAGCAAAGATGTAGGGCCAGATAGTCTCTTCCTGGTTGGTGGTCAGAGAGCATCACCATCCCCTCATCCATTCATTCAATAAATACTGAGAATCTGTGAAGTGTCAGGCACTGTTCTAAGTGCCATGGATAGAGCAATGAACAAAACAAACAAGTTTCTATGCTTATAAAACTCAGCATGCCATAAGATAGATAACAAATCAACTAAGATGTGATATGACAGGGGTGACAAGCACCACAAGGAACAATCAAGCAGGTAAAGGAGCTAGAGAGTGACAGCGGGGAGGAGGCTTGCTATTTGGGGTGGGGTGCTGGAGGAAGACCACTTTGAATGAGTGACCTTTGA